AATTCTGAGAACTCCAGGCTCTACCTGGAAGCTGGCAATCCACAGTAATGATTCCCTGTTTCTCTTTTTTCCCAAGTTGTTTTTGACATGGTGGCTCAGAGCACAACAGAGAAAGTGTAGGTAGCTTGGAAATGTGCTACCCTCAGGCCAAACACTTGGGGATGCCTACAGCGCAATCCTAAGCAAAGTTGTACTCTTCTAACAGTGTAATAATAAACAGATTTACATCCTGCCAAAAGTCAATGTGCTTAGAAGGGTGAATAGTCACTCTCTCTTGACTTTCTAAAATGAAATACCATACCTTTATTGAATAATGAGATAAGCTCAAGCACAGAGATCTTACAAGAAAGATCAGGAGCAGAAAGAACACAACCAAACATAACAAGGAACAAAAGTTGGTGTAAAGACAACTCACAGTAAATACTTTGAGAAATGTCCCAAAACTTACGAAGAATAAACCATTACTCACCAATCTATCAAGAGAACATCCCCCAACATACATCTTCTACCTAAAGGATATATTAAACTGTGCAAGACTGCTGAAGCTGTATTATGACTCTGCATGGATTACTTCAGAAAAAGAGAAGAAGAGATTGGATTTCTACCCCACCCTTCACTACCTGAAGGAGTCTCAGAGTGGCTTACAAACTCCTTTCCCTTCCCCTCCCCACAACAGACACCCTGTGAGGTAGGTGGGGCTGAGAGAGCGCTGACAGAAACTGCTCTTTCAAGAACTATAGCTTGCCCAAAGTAATCCAGCAGCTGTAAGTGGAGGAGTGAGGAATCAAACCCAGTTTTCCCAGATTAGAGTCCACACACTTAACCACTACACCAAACTGGCTCTTAATAAGCTACCATCAAAGCATGGCCCAGGGTACAGCATATGATTTTCTGATTATAATTACCCGATGCAGGGGCTCTTCTGTAAAAACCTGTGGAAAGCTCTAGTTTTCCGAAGCTAGCAGTGAACAAACAAGTACTTCTAATTAGAAATGACTGCCTTATTGGAGAAAGAGACTGTCAGGCATAAGCCGCGAAACAACAAAAGCAAAATGTCAGTTAGTTTTGAGAGACATAAGGAAAACCCAGATTTGCATGATTTACAGACAATGGATCAAGCTCCCAACCTGCCGTGTGTGGAAAGTATGAATAAAGTCTAAATGTAAACATGGAGTAGGAGGAATCTGTAGAAATACCCTATCCTCACTATTTTGCCATGTGTGGAAAGCTACAGAATGAAGTCTAAATGTAAGCATTGAATAGGAGGAATCCATAGAAATACCCTATCCTCACTATTTTGCATCTGTTTAACAGTTGCAATACTGCACATTTTATTTAGATTTAGAAATCCTAAGCATCCTTTCCAGCACACTGGGAAATTTTATAGTAACTTAAAACCCACAGTATCAGAATACAAATTCCATCACATAATCAAATAGAGTAAAATACTCCATCATAAATTACTGCTGGGGAGTGTGGTGGCTGAGCTTTCAGCTGGCTGCATCCCTCTAACGCTCCTGCTATTTCCTCTGAAAATAGCAAAATTGCTGTCAAAGAACAAAACTAACCTAGAAACAAACTTCAATGCCGGCTAAGGGAAAGACTAGGGGAAAGAAGGGAGCAAAAAATTCTCCCTATAGATGCCCAAAGAAAGCTAATATGGACCCTGAAGACTCAGAAGAGCAAGAGATATCTCTGCCGGATAGAATGGCAATGGGAGGAGGTAACTCCGACCTAGGTTATCGGACTATGATTCTGCATGTCCAGACAGAGATAAAATATGAACTTAAAACTGAAATAAAGTCTCTGAGTGGGGACGTTGGGCAATTGAAAAATGAATTTGACCAACTTAAATCAACAATTGAGCCAATAAATAAAAAACTTGATGAACTTACCAAAATTTTGCAGACGATGGAGAGGAAAGCAGAAGCAGCATACCAGAGGAAATGAATTATTTTTTATGTAGTATGAAATATATACTCAAAATATTAAAAAAATAAATTACTGCTGAGGGGAAAATAGTAATGAATCATAAAACGCCCGCACTTAACATGATGCCTCTACCTCCATTTTTACCCTCAACCAGTTTAGAGAAAATGGGATGGCAAAATACAAGGGGGGAAATCCTTTTCTGACTTCTTGTGAGTGATCAGCTTAAACTTAGAGGCAGGAGGGGGGAAAGGGTGTCAGTTCCATAAAATACATAAGTAGCATGCAGTGGCAACAGCCACATGATAAATAACAGAAGCATAACAAATGGTACTTAGCATCAACCTTTTATGGTCCCACTTACTCTCTGCTGACTCACACATCTCCTGCTAAAAGCTGAATTGTTTCTATTATTGAAAATCTTTAAGCAGTTTCAAGTAACAACCATTTTGCAATCACCAGTGAAGTATTTTTTGCCTCAAATTTGGAACAGTTTCCTCCCATAAGTTATGTCCTTTTCTGAGATTCTGAAAGTATGTTACTGAAAGACAGCAACACTTAGCATAGATGGAGGCGGGAGGAGGAGAGAACATAAGAACATAAGAGAAGCCAATGTTGGATCAGACCAATGGTCCATCCAGTCCAACACTCTGTCACAGTGGCCAAAAATACCTGGTGCCATCAGGAGGTCCATCAGTGGGGACAGGACACTAGAAGCTCTCCCACTGTTGCCCCCCCAAGCACCAAGAATACAGAGCATCACTTGCCCCAGAGTTCCTATCTATACCTTGTGGCTAATAGCCACTGATGGATCTCTGCTCCATATGTTTCTCTAATTCCCTCTTGAAGCTGCCCATGCTTGTAGCCACTGCCAACTCCTGTGGCAGTGAATTACGTATGTTAGTCACCTTTTGGGTTAAGAAGTCCTTCCTTTTATCTGTTCTACCCTGAATGCTCATCAATTAAATTGAGTGCCCACAAGTTCTTGTATTATGAGAAAGGGAGAAAAGTACTTCCTTCTCAACCTGCTCTATCCCATGCATAATCTTATAAACCTCGATCATGTCACTCCTCAGCCATCATTTCTCCAAGCTAAAGCGCCCCAAGCGCTTTAACCTTTCTTCACAGGGAAGGTGTTCCAACCCTTTGATCATTCTAGTTGCCTTTTCTGCACTTTTCCCAACAATAATATCCTTTTATGAGTTGTTGTTACCAGAACTGTACACAGTATTCCAAATGAGGTCACACCCTTGATTTATACAGCGGAGTTACAATACTGGCTTATTTGTTTTCAATTTCCTTCCTAATAATCCCCAGCATAGTGTTGGCCTTTTTTATTGCAGTCGCACACTGTCTCAACATTTTCAGTGATTTAAACGCTACGACTCCACGATCTCTCTCTTGGTCAGTCTCTGCCAGTTCAGACCCCATCAACATATATCTATATTTAGGATTTTTGGTTCCAATGTGCATCACTTTGCACTTGGCCCCACTGAACCCCATTTGCCACGTTGATGCCCACTCTCCCATCCTCAACAGATCCCTTTGGAGTGCCTCACAATCCTCCCTCCTTTTCACCACCCTGAACAACTTTGTGTCATCCTCAAATTTAGCCACTTCACGGCTTACTCCCAACTCCAAATCATTAATAAACAAGTTAAAAAGCATTAGACAGAGTACTGATCCCAGCGGTACTCTTACCACCCTTCGCTGCGAAAATTGCCCATTTATACTCACTCTCTGTTTCCTATTAATTAGCCAGTTTTTGATCCATAAAAGGACTTGTCCTTTTATCCCATGATTTTTGAGCTTACTTAGGAGCCTTTGATGAGGAACTTTATCAAAAGCTTTCTGGAAGTCAAAGTAAACAACAGAGCCACATGTGGTTCCTGAGACGTGCTTATCCACTCCCTCAAAGAATACTAACAGGTTAGTGAGACAAGATCTTCCCTTACAGAACCCATGCTGAGTCTGCCTCAATAGTTTTTGTTCATCAATGTGCCTACTAATTCATTCCTTAATAACTGTGTCACGGCAAGACCAGGGGGCGTGACACAAGCAAGCAAAAGTCCAGGAACAGTCCGAGGTCAAGCCGGGCAAACCAGGTAGCAAGGTTCAAGCAGGTTTAAATCACAGTCCAAAAGCAGGGTCAGACATACCAAAGTTTCAAGTCCATAAATCACAACAATACCAGAGGAGTCAGAGATGAACGCAGGGTCAACAAAGCCAAAGGTCAAAAGCCGAGGATCAAGCCGAGAAGAATTCCACAAGGTCTGGAGCAGAGATGCAAGGATTCAGGTCCTGAACAAACGACGTTGCCAGCACAAATGACTGCTGGCAACAGACTTGCATATATACAGTGCTAGCTAATCAACTCATTAGCTAGCCAGGAGTGAGGACAGGATCCTGTCAGTAATCAGGGCTAAGAGATCTTCTGGCACGCATGCGTGCATTCTGCCTTCGCTCTCTCAGCTGTTGTCTTCTTACATTCCTGAGCCTGGTTACAGGTGGAGGCGAGTCTGATGATGAATTACTGGGCTGCAGCAGAGACTGATCCCTTGCAGGTGTTCCCTGGGAGGCTCTATCCTCCTCACCACTTAGATAGCTTTCAGCTACAGGATCCAGTCTTTGCCTTTCTGCTGCAGTACTGTCCTCAGGAGCCTGTTCAGGGTCCTCAGGAGCCTGTTCAGGGGCATCAGCAAAGGCAGGCATGACATCAGCAGGGGCAGGCATGACAATCGGGAGCTTCAGACCCTGGTGTCGCGCCAGGCTTCAAGTTGCCAGTTACCCCCTGCTTACACTGCAAGCCTCCCGCTTTCGCGGAAGAACTTGCCTTCTGGATCGTCTCCCGTCCGTCCATCCACACGTGGCCCTCTTCTCCGTATCAACTCTCCTCCTGTCTTGTTGGCCTTCATCTCCCAGTTTGCCTCAGTCTGGGGGAGAGACAAAGAGTAGGACTGAAAGGCCCGTCTGAGGCCTCAGGGCCCGTTTCCTCTCAGCCCAGCCCGCTGGGTGACCCTTTCAGCAAGCTGGTATCTTGCAGTGTTTGGTTCCCCTTTGTTCCCGCCTGTCTAAACTCGAAAAGGAAATGCATGGCAGCTGTTCAACCCTTCTCTATCTTGGCCTTCAGCACTGGCTTTTCCAGGTTTGCATTTTCCTGCTTCCATGCTGTTACCATACTGAGGCCTGGAAGGAGTACGGGAGAAAGATCAACATTTCAAAAAATCCCTCTGTCAGCCAAGACCGGCCCCCGATGAACGGTAGCAAGCTCTGAGTTGGGAAATACTCGGAGATCCCCTCATATCAGAGAAGTTACCCTTTTTAAAGTTAAAAGTGGTGATGTCAGTCTTTTTGGGCAACTGCCTATTTGAACAAATGTTAAACTCAATAACATTATGGTCACTGTTCCCAAGCGGAACATCAGATGTTTGAGAGCTGCAAGACATGAACAAATATTACACACACATTTTTATTTTAAAATATGCAAATTTGCTTTTTCTTAACATTAAACGAGACTACCAGAAATAAAAACGAAAGGGGTAAAAATAGTTATTGATAATGATATTTATTTGTCCAATGATATTTATTTATTTATTTGCTAATGATTTGTCTAAGAGAGACAGAAAAAGAGAGAGAAGCGGAAAGAAAGAATGAAAGAGGTGGAAAGTAAGAGAGAAAGAGAAAGAGAGAGAGAGAAACAAAGAATGCAAATAGATGGGAGGGAGGGAGAAAAAGCATGCTTCCCCTTTGCTTCCCCTGCTGCTCTGCCGGGAGCCACATAATATGTGTGAAAGAGCCACATGTGGTTCCTGAGCCACAGTTTGACCACCCCTGGTTTTGACCCTTTCTACTTTTCCTTTCAGTTTCTTCCTCACAGGTCCCCTCATATCAGAGAAGATACCCCTTTTAAAGTTAAAAGTGGTTGTGTCAGTGGCTCTTGTGGTGTTGGGTTCCTGCTCTGTAAAAGCTGTACAAAAACTCTTTTTTCTGTTACAGTGATTTATTTGGAAATTCATTTAATGTTTTATTACACTTTAATATAGTTTAATCTGGAACAGTTAAATACTAGGATTTACTTCGGTAGGGCTGTGAGCTCTGAGCTGGGAAATTCATGGAGATTTTTGTGGTGGAGGCAGAGGAGAACGGGGCCTGGGGAGGGCAGTCCATCTTCTAAAGCATCCATTTTCTCCAAGGAAGCTGACCTCCATAGCCTGAAGATCAGTTCTAATTCCAGGAGATATCCAGACTCCACCTGGAACCTGACAACCCTAGGTCTCTTGATAAGCTGGCTAGACAGTCTGCTATGAAATACTCTGGCAGGCCTTGTCTTCCTTTCTTTGTTTATTCTAAATAAAGGTATACTTTGTTTATTTATGAAGACTTTCAGTGTACTTTGAGTGAGGCTGCAGTCACAAGAACAGTTCATGCCAATATAGTTGCATTACCTTTGTGGATTTAAAGAGCACCATCAGACAACATCTGCCTTCCATGCCCCAGCTGCCAGCAACCCATTTAGCCTCACTTTGGAAGCGGAGTAATCAGGCACCAGGGAAAGTCTGGTATTTATGATGCCAGCACTTCCACTCTGCGTTTCTGGCTGTCTGAACTCCCCTCTTGCAAAGTCAAGCCATTTGGGAAGTCTGAACCTTCCCTTCCATTTCTGCCTCCTATTTTGCAGGGAATCGGGTAGCAATGTTTGCATAAGTGCATAATCACCCCTGGCATTGTTAATCACCATGGCCAAGTAGTCATTCTGGATCAGGAGTCCCCAGGGGAGTTGTTTTTGAGTGACAAATGCACTGAAGTAAATGGGACTACTGTCATGTAAATCTACACTTTACACCCCACCCCCCATATTTCATGGCAAAGAGGCAATGGGAAGGAGGTTGGGAGGGGCTGAAGTAATTGGCGGAAATATTATGGAGCTGTCAAAAAGGAGCCGGAGCTTTGGGTACATGCTTATGTGCATGGGTAAAAGACCAAAAGAAAAAAAAGGGGGGGGGAGAATGCCGCACTAATCTGAACAATCTACGATGGGGCAAGTGTACAGTGAAGCTGGTTCATGGTGGGATGTCTGCTCAAAACTTCCAGCAACTATTTAAACCACTGCAAATAGAGATGCAGCCAGATCATGCCAAGCCTCCAGTGTGAACACAGCCTGATTGTGGCGTCTTACATACAACTGCATTGCAGTGCTCAAAATAATGTAATGTCATTGGGGGGGGGGACTTTAGCACATTCTAGATAACTATTTATTGTAGCACGGCAACAGCTCCTAATTAGTCAATAAGGTGCCACCAGACAATTTATGTTTAGAATTTTTTCTTAGTTCTATATTGTATAAGAAATGGGCTGTGCCTGGTAACTCATGGGAACTTAGGGGATGGAGACATGGGGGGCATGTGGTGATACATATGCTATGACATCACTTCTAGGCAAACCTGTAAGCGACATCATTTCACTCTAGGAATTGCCAGAAACTCTTTGGTAAAACCACAGCATTTCTAGCAATTCCTAGAGCTATGGGGCATCACTTCTGGGTTTTCCCTGAGTCACATTATGGTGCATTCAACGCCAGTGGTGGTTGCCAGTAGGAGGCCGTTGGCAACCCTAGGCCATTACCAAAGTGACAGCCCCCATGTGCTGCATTCTTGAGTTTCCCTCCATAATCTGTAGTACAACTTCCCTTGTGCATTGGGTACCATTATATCATGAGTATTTCCCACTCCCTATCTTTTATCATTGGCTGTACTAGCAGGAAGAGTGAGATAAGTTGCATTATACATTAACAAAGGCAGAGGAGGAACACTTAGTATTGGCTTACTACTTTCACTGGCAGCCCTGTGTTTGTTATAAGAGGCAATTCTGTCCCTTAGAAATATTAGGATTATGTTCCTTTTTTCATTATTCATATGGGGAAAAGAAAAAAAAAATGGGTTTGTTCATCATTTGTATAGGGGAAAGGGGGAAAAGGGTGTGTATATCAGCATCACACTGACTCCTCAGTATTGTTTCCAACCTTATCATTAATATGGGAGCATAGTCAAAAGGCATGCATGCTTTTAATCAATTGATTGTTAGAAAAGAAATACCTCTAAGGTATAGTAGTTAAACCATCACTGACTAGTTTAAGCATAGTATTACAGACAGAACTTAGCATTACAACAACTGTTATATGTATATTTGTTTCACACTATGATGAATAGACCTATTTGTATGTTTTCATCAAACTAAATAAAAAACTGCAGGAAACAAATGACTAAGGGAATTACAAATCTATTTTCCACTGAACAACTTTCAGGATTTAGTTGTTACCACCAAGAGCTACTTCTGAAATAGGTTTTGGTGGATTGACACCTTTAATTAATCTCTTGCAGGTACTCACACTGTCAAAATGTCAAGCAGGTTTCCTGTTTTAAAAGGACCTTGAAGGGTTCTTTCAGTCATACTAAACTAGTTAATTCTCTAACAGTGCTGTCCTAAGGAGAGTTATACCCTTTAAAGCCCATTGACTTCAGTAGACTTAGAAGGGTGTAACTCTGTGTAGGACTGCACTGTAATTTATATATCGAAAGGCCTACAAGGAAGGTAAATACATTGTACAATTTCCTCATACAAAACACAATTAATTAAATCATAGTCCTTGATGCTAAATTTCTTATTCAGTTAAAACATATACATGGATTTTAGTGAGGGGAAAAAACCCTGAACAACTATATCTAGAATTATGCCTATAGCTATCACTGAAAAAAAGATACCCACATAGAAATACGTATGTGAACACTCTGTGAAACTTGTGATATGGATTTTTGCACAGTAACACATATAACTTTGCCTCTTAATGTAAATATTAGCAAGTTGTTTCTCTTATAAATCAGAGAGTGATTACTAATAAATATATTTCAGGATGTAATTTTTGAAACCAGTAACTAAATTCCATCATATAAATTTTTATTATTTAAAAGGTTAACTTAGCAATATGTTTCCCAACAAAGACCTCATTAATAACAATAGCAGAGCTAGATTCAAGTCCAGGAACACCTTAGCTGGGAGCTTTGACTCTAGAAAGCTCATAACCCAAAACTCTTGTTGGCCTCTAAGGTGTTAACTGGAGTTGAATCTAGCTCTTCTACTGCAGACCAACATGGCTACCCTTTGAAACAGCAGCAGATACAGGCATTTAATGCATGAGGACTCTTTTTAAAATCACATGAATATATGTGCACTTAATTATTTGACTACATGGGCATAATAATTTTCTAACTGATCAATGGAGTAACAAATAGTAGGTGTGGTGGTTAGACTACGGATACTTCGGTATTATATCAAAAGCAAAAATGTGCCTGGAAACTGGAAATGCAGTGAATCAGCACTATTGTGTCTTAATTCCAGGTACAGTACATTTCTAACAACTCACAGTCATGCCTTTTTATATATTGTCTACTCAAAACATTTTGATGTGATTTTGAAATTTAAATTCCAAGTAATAGGAGTAAGCATCTTTTACTTACATTTTTGAATCATCCCAAAGTGCACAATAGGGATTCAATGTGCCCTGGAAACAAACAAACAAATAGAATATGTTGTTTACTGGCAGACCTAGCAAATTGTAAATGAATACACAGAAAACTTTTTAGGACAAACCTTCCCTCATTTCTGAATGGACATAGTTCCCAAAAACAATGTACCTAGAGTTCATGCTCAAGAAACAACCAACAGATCCTCCCTGCCCCTGACAGGAGAAGGGACCAGGGTGAAGCAATTATATTGCCTTGACTCTGCTGTCATGCAAAACTCTGGTTTTGTGCTATGTGAGAGACAGATTGATCCTCTGCCCCTCAAACACCCCAGTTGCCTCTATTCTTTCCTTATTTGCAGCAAACCATAGCTTCCTGTTACATCCAAAGGAGGCAAATCATACCTCACCTGCAAACTAAAGGAAGAAACAACAATTTTGCAAAAGAATCAACTGAAAATATAAGAACAGTGTCTTCTAGCAGGGTCATTTCTCATAGTGTAATTTCTTATGTCTGAAGTCTAATGACCTGGGTTAACTGCTGTCACTGGGAAAAACAGAAGAAAACTCTTTGGGAAGGTAGGTTTCAACAGATCTATACAACATTCTATTCTGAGCTGCAGCCCAGGTCAGCCTGACCCAGACTGGAGAGACAGCCTCTGAAAGCATTCCTTGCCACTTTATAAATTGACTGAAAAGTTTATGCCCAGGGGCTGTAAGCTGGTACAATTCTCCTTATATGACTGAATAAATATATCATATATTCTAATAGCCAACAGAGGGCGCCGTGCGGATCCTTAGTCCCAGGAAAAGGAAGCTCCGTTTGGCTCAGGAGCTTTTCCTATATATTGAATAGTCTGCCAGTGCCTGCAGAAAAATCTAAAAACTAGAAAAAACCCTCCAGGGATGCCTGAATTCCCCCAAAATCCCTTTGAAATGGCCTTTGCAGGGCTCTGCTTCAGACACCAACTGTGAGAGAGAGGTTAGAACGTTCGGGGGGGTGGGGAGAGGCTTCTAACTGCTCTGTGAGTCAAAGTGGAGGAGAAAAAGAAAAGGGGGGGGCAGAAGGGAGAAAGAGTGGGAGAGAGGTAGAGGGAGACAGGAGGAAGCAAAGGTGTGAGGAATAGGATAACCATTCCGCAAGTTTCTTGCGGGTCTCCACTTGTATATATATATATATAGTTTTCATAAATTAATGAAGATATTGTCTGACTTGTTCTATGAAGCATTACTCTAGTAAGAGACAGAGCTTATATTTTCACCGCAGTAGCCAATACCAATCATTGGTGAACTATGCACCGAAACAGTGTTCTGGGTACAGATTCCCTTGCTGGATCTGGCCCAGGCTGTGCAAATAGTATTGTGTAAGATATAAAAAGCCCCATTTTCATCCAGTGTTGGAGACTGGGGCACTGACCTAGATGGTTGGTGTGCTGAACTTTGGTAATGCTGGCCACTTGTTTAGGGAAATCCAAGACCAAATTTCCTACTGAGCTACATGAACAATGGCATCCCTGACGCAGATATTGCCTCTGCCATACTGTCTTATAGAAAGCAGAACAAGTAACAGAGAGAAGTAGAATGTGGGGAGTACTGGTAAGAAAGGGCCCAAAGTGACACCTAACGCCTTCTGCTTTGAGTGCCCCCACCCCCAGAGAGACAGTACTGGTAAGAAATGTAAGTTACTTTCATCCCTGTGTTGTATAATAATTGCCACATGAGTCATTATCATGTAACAATGCGGGGATCACTCTGTTAAGGACTAATGAGCTTTTGTTTGGGTCTCTTATGTAGGTTTTAAAAATAGCATTAAAACCAGGGTTGTTAAGCCAGCAAAGCTACTGTAAATTGTGGGATATAGAAAATTAGACAGTATCTATTAGATTAGAGATGAATCTAGACATTGGTCACTGAGCATTTATGGAATTTTTCAGCACATGGTTTGCCCTACTTTCACCCTTCCCACCCACTGACTGGAAGGGTACGCAGAGGGACTTTGTGTGTGTGTGTGTGTGATATTCATTCCTTTGGGGAAGAGCAACCTGATTAGTATGCATGGGATAGAAAAGACTGATGAGGCATTATGGAATACTGTTGCTATTCAGCAGGTGCTTCTTGGGCTATCCTTGATGAGGGTGGAAATCATGAAGCTTGCATACACAGAGCCTTTCAGCTGTCTGAATGGATAAAGCCAGGCATGGAATAAATAGAGAGCAGAAAGAAAGATTCCACAGGTAGTAAGAGTTCAGGGAGTCTGGAGGTGTACTTTTCAGAGGGAAGTACCATAACCTATATTTCAGGAAACATGGCTAATAATTGGAATTAATATATTGTACACACTTGGGAGAAGGTAAGGATGTCATGCAAAGCTAGAGGATAGCTTGGGGAATGTAAAGGATGTCAAACAAAGAAATTTCAATGGATAATAAAAAGAAGTAGATATAAGAACACAGCAGCTGAAGAAGCATCCCTGGAGTCCTGGGAGCTTGATGGCCTGAAAGTGTAAAGCTTCCCCACAGAACATGTACCATTCACAAATGCTTCATATCTCCCTTCAGGAGGGAACAGGTATGACAAAATTTGCCTTAAGCAGAATGCAGATGGGAGAAGATGCCAGGAAGGACACTGACTGCTTTCACATGGAGGATTTTCCCTCTTCCAGCCATCCTAGCTCCTATGGGTATTTAAAAAACAAAAACAGAAAACACCTTGTTTCCACACAACATTGTCTTGCATTTATGCCCCAACCATGGACAGTTTGGTTTCTTTTTTCCCTCTTAACAATTAAAAAAAAATAGGGGGAGGGGGTTCCCTGCATGGCATTGCTGGGGTATTCTTTTCCATGTGTCTGGAATGGAAGGTATGCCCTCAGTTTCAATGAAAAGGAATGTTTTCCCCTCTTCCTCCACTTTTTTTTTTAAGTAATGTTGAAAAACAGGTTGTTTATCTGTAACTGATTATCTTTGAGTGGTCATCTGTGCATTCACACCACATGCCCTCCTTCCCCTCCGCTTTCTATCCTCTCCTTTTTTATTACTTTGAGACTGATGGCAGCGGTCAGAAGGAACTGGCAGGATTGTCGTGCCCCTCCCTTGACCATGCGCAGTGGGGCTGGTGTGTGACTGGGGAGCGAGCGCAAAAATCCCTTTCGCTTTCAAGAGGAACCAAACCAGGTCAGCGCAGGCGCACTATATCCCAGAGGTGTGAATGCACAGATGACCACTCAAAGATAATCAGTTACAGATAAACAACCTGTTTTTCAACATTACTTAAAAAAAAAAGTGGAGGAAGAGGGGAAAACATTCCTTTTCATTGAAACTGAGGGCATACCTTCCATTCCAGACACATGGAAAAGAATACCCCAGCAATGCCATGCAGGGAACCCCCTCCCCCTATTTTTTTTTAATTGTTAAGAGGGAAAAAAGAAACCAAACTGTCCATGGTTGGGGCATAAATGCAAGACAATGTTGTGTGGAAACAAGGTGTTTTCTGTTTTTGTTTTTTAAATACCCATAGGAGCTAAGATGGCTGGAAGGGGGAAAATCCTCCATGTTTTTTTATTATTATTATTTTTATTTTTTATTTTATTTTAATTTTTATAAACAGGGAAAATCCTCCATGTGAAAGCAGTCAGTGTCCTTCCTGGCATCTTCTCCCATCTGCGTTCTGCTTAAGGCTTCGGCAGGAAAAAGACATCTGGGGCCAAGGTGACACCATCATGGTGAAAAACCAAATATGGAGAATCGCCACGGAGTGCAGACAATTCGCTCACTCATCTTGCTGAAGTAATGGCTAATAGACAGGCAGTCTTCCATGAGAGAAGCTGCAGGCTAGATGTGGCCATGGGCTCAAACAGTTTGCCCATTAACCTGGACAGTACTAGAGGTAAGTCCCAGGAAGGAGTCGGCCCACGAGCTGGAGGAAAGAGGCGAGTAAGGCCCTTCAGAAACTGCTTCGTTTGCGGGTGAGGAAAAAACGGAATAGCTGTCCACCACAGGATGATAGGCCGAAATGGCGGCTAAGTAGACCCTTAAAGAAAAGCCACTAAGACCCAAGTCCAGGCGGGTCAACAAGAATCCAAAAATTATCCTCAAGTCCGCAGGGGGTGGTGGTAAACCCAACAACTTGAGGTACGACAGGAATTTCTTCCACTTTCCTTCATAGGAAGCGCGTGTAGCTGGCTTCCGACAGTTCAACAGAACAAGGTCTATCCTGTTTCTGAGCTGTGCTAAGGGATTCTCCATGCTGTGCGTTTGAGGTGTGGTACATCGTGGTGAAGCACTCGGCCCTCCTGAGCCAGGAGGAGCTCTGGTGCTGGGGGGAGATGTATGTATGTGCCCTGGGACATGTGGAGCAGAGTCGGGAATCAGTGCTGACATGGCCACCATGGTGCCACGAGGATGCATTGAGGTTGTTCCTTCATGATCTGGCTCAGCACTCTGGTTAGTAAAGGAATTGGTGGGAAATGGTACATGTGCCTGTGGGACCATGGGAACAAAAGACCGTCCCCCAGAGACAGAGGGTCCTGTCCCGCCCTGGTGCAGAACAGATGACACTTCACGTTCTGACGCGTTGCAAACGCATTAATTTCTGGGTGACCCTATCTGTGGAAAATAGGTTGGAGGTAAGCCCAGTTGAGCTCCCACTCATGGAGGGATTTATTTATTTATTATTTGTAGTTTTATCCCGCCCTCCCCGTAGGCTCAGGGCGGCTTACAGGGCATATTGCCGAATCATACCATAAAACAGTACAAATATTAAAATGTTAAAACCAATTATACTCATAGAAAAATATATTCAGTGCTCCTCTCATAAAAAAGCAAGATGGCAGTCTCTTAAAATCTCATCCAAATGGTGAGTAGTTCCAGGACGTTGATGTGTTTGTGGGCCACATGGGGTTCCCATTTGGCACCCACCCACACACACACCTTGGAGGTGAGCCCCCCCATCCCCACAGGGATGCATCCATGGTTAGGGTCATTTTGAGGCTGGGTACAAGAAATGGGGCTCCCTGAAGAAAGTTGTCTGAAGTTTCCCAC